GATCCACACTAAGACATGATTGCGAATCGCGGAAAACAACGCACCGGATCATACCGAAGCTCTCCGCGCTGCTGAACACAGAGGCTCCCGGTAAAAGGGTAACAGTTTCCTTTCCAGCGTTGATGATATCCCTATAGTATATTCACTAGGCAAAAAGCTCCGGTTATTCGGCCGAAACGACTTACGCATCCACCTCGTCTTCTGTCGGGTAAGGCCCCATACCTATGCCAAGTTACAAGAGATTAGCGGCCAACAGTCTAAGATACCTGGTTGCGCACCAAGGATGCCGTTCTCAGATTGCAAATGTACTACTACACCCTCGGGTAAGAACGACGGTACGAGGTTGGGCATTCCAATACCAAGGTTGACGTAGTAGCCATCCTTCAATTCCTTAGCTGCACGTTTCACGATCCTCTCTCGCCTTTCACGGGCTTCACCCTTTTCGCCCAGCGCAGCCTCAATATCTACTTGGGCGTCAAGTTGTTATGGAACACATAAAGCGAGCCAGACAAACGCCACTTACCAACCCCAGCGTTCTTGTCTGGTGTAGTAGTTCTAAACTCGATCTCCTTCGGGGCTGTAGCGGGCACAACCCGGTCCACATATACGCCAGGGACATGGACGTGTTGGGGATCGATCGAGCCAACAGGGACGATTTCCTCAGCTTGCGCTTCGTTTCAGTTTGATGATTCAGCACAAACGACGATCAATACCTTCAACAATGGTGAGCTTGGCCGCGCGAGCCATCACGGCAGAGAAGTTTTGTGTCGTGTAGCGGAATTGAAGATTCCCATATGCATCGGCCTTGTGGGCTCGGACAAACGCGTAGTCCGCTGGCCTGCAAGGTATAAGTTTTGTACTGAAAGATTGGAGGGAACATACTCACAAGGACTCCTCTAGGATATATTTACGACCGCCGAATTCTCTGACCTCCTTGGCGAGACCAGGTATTTCAACCTCTCCGTCTGAATCCTCCTTGTACTTGATCGGCATTCCCCCTGCTTGCACGGCAGTACCAAACCCGGTGGGAGTGAAGAAAGCGGGCACGCCAGCTCCAGCGCTTCGTATTTTTTCGGCGAGAGTGCCTTGCGGTGTAAGCTCAATGGCCACCTTTCCGGACAGATAAAGACTTTCAAGGTTTTTGTTGTTTCCAATATACGAGCAAATCATTTTAGAGATCTGGCCAGTATATAAAAGTTTACCTGAGGGGCTAATTTAGTCTAGGTTCGAATTGGACAGAGACGAACAGGCACTTGCCAAGACCGCGTTCTCCCACGCCTGCATTGTTGGACACCGCTGTAAGTCCTTTGACTTCTGGTCGGCGGGACAATGCCTGGATGAGTGTATCAGGTGTACCACAGAGCCCGAAACCTATGCCACAGTTTAGGAACATTTGCAGAGCGTACTCTTACGATACTCACCACCACTCAACAGCATTTTTCCACCTTCAAGATCTTTTACCGCCTCATCCGCACTCTCCCATATTTTGCTTTTCCCCTTCTTTTGGACATGTTGTAGCCCTGCTGGTTTCGGAGCATCCAGACGGCGCGGAGTAGAGTGGATAAGCCTGAGCGAGGCAACTAGAGGGACCCGTAGCGGTCGTCTTCCGTGTACAATTCGCGCGTGGGCAAGCATGTTTTGTGTGAGATGTCAAGGTATGGTGACAAGAACAAAGAGCGTTGAGCCAGTTTTGAAAGTGAGCCTGGTCAAGCTCCGGCCAGATGTTTCGCACGGTCAGCTGCCGGTTGAGCTTATTCCCTTAAGATTTCCCTCGCATCGCTGATGTCTCCTCAATAGTGTCGAGTTTTTGTCTCGTGTCGCACCTAGTGTAAGACTAAACATGGATCGCCGACCTGCCAAGTTGATACTACCTATTTCGTCGGCAGGTTGATGTGGTATTGCGGCGGAGTTGCGGCCAGTAACTCCGGCCAATCGCAAGAGATTTCCAATTAGCCGTGTCTCGGATAATTTTATTTTTGGAACAGACAGGCCCTCGTAGCCGCGGAAGCACCAGACTCGGACAAGGTGTATTTTGATGACCTACCTCGTACCCTTGGCTCCAGCTCACATTGCCAACCTCGATTACAATATCCCTAAGTCAGAGTAAACCCCATCCACACAGTCGGAAGACCCACATCACCCCTCCTCAATATATGCACCTCAGCATCGACCCTCTGATACACTTTCTCGCGAATGGCGTACTTATTGGATCCACTGCGCCTTGCTTTTAGATTAATCTGCAACCAAGAGCCGGTCTTGGTATGAGCCCACGGCAAGTCGAGACCATGGTTATAGCATACCTAGCTCTATATGTTCCGTTTCCTTTTGCTTGTTAGTGCACAGTTTTATAGGTAGAAAACACTAGGCACTGGTGAGCTGTCAACATGCTATGTCTGTGTTTTATATCACTCTTGTGAATGTTATTAGCCAGATTATATCACTACCGCCATGAAGCACCACCCATCTCGCAAGTCGGCAAATTACGAGACTCATTGGTGAACGTGTAATGATATCATGTTATCTCAAGGTCCGCTCACCTCTCATACAGGACTTTTATCGTGGACCTTGCTAATTAGCTAAGGATGGGAACCAAACCTGAGAGCATACATAAGAAGCTAGGTATTGAAGGAACATTGTGTGCAATCGCAGCATTCGCAAGAGCAAAAGTTGGTATCGCATGACTGACACCGATCCTGAGCGCGGCTCAATTCGAGTGAGTGAAACATAGCTCACGATGGTGTCAAGTTCGTACCTGTGAACTTAGCTCCCTGTCGAGTTGTTCGCAGATAGCACGTTGATCTACATAGTTATGGTATAATAAGAACATGATATAAACTCATAGCTGAGCACGCCGGCGTACCTGCAGTCATCTGCGGTGTAGAGCTGGGCTGTTGAGAGACGGTTTCCATCACTGATGGGACTCGAGTGAATCGACCGAATAAATCTGCTGGGAGAACAGTTTACGGTCTCGTTTTATACTCACAACCTCGATGCCCGCTTAAAACCACGTGGCCGAACAACATGGTCAGCGATTTCGGAATCTCATTCGACATCTCTGGACTGCGATGCAGACCACCGAATAGACCCTTGGCGAGTCCTACAGACGACTCGACGTCAAAGGGACTTGTGGGAAACCCCGCCCCCGACTAAAACGCTTCGTGAGCACCATAATGACGTATTATTTGATGCACATCAGGAAACCAGATAGCCTCCCTATGGACGCCTATACCCGCCAACGGAGGCTCTGACGCTCATACAGTGTCCAAAATGTAAACTCTCACAGGCAGACTCGCTTCCTAATGTATGCTGGTCGAGTTTGACGCGTCGATGGTTATACTTAGTCAGAAAGGCTGAGGTTTGCTCACCTGAAACCAAATCCGTCTGAGCTCACTACAGCCAAGGAGCACAAAATACGCGTGCTCCCCAATGGTAAGCACAAGAGGCCAATGACAGAACCCCCGCGACACGGTTTTTTCCGACCGACCATCCATCACGAAAACTGGTCTCCGCCAGCTAAGTGCTCCAGAGGGAGTTGAGAGTGTTGAGGGCATTGAAATTAATGCCCCTGTCTGGAGCTCTCACGAGCGCTCAACGCTCCTCAGCCGGGAACCTGGTTACTCGGCCGTGTAGCAGCTATCTTTGTCCCATCCGACGGTTCTCTCCGACTCGGAGTTCTCGTTGTGACGTCGATGTTGGATGCCTGCCCGTGGCGCGATTTCTACTCTATTCCTATTCTAAACCGTTCTAGGCTGGCCTATTGGGCTTCACACAGCTACATGTACATATATGGATAAATTGAATCCTGTTGATGGCTCGGGTGGCGGAACATGACAATTGTGGAGCAGGCTGATCAATTGACCTGCGACTTGGCGCGGGCTTGGCGCTATGCGCAGAGGACCAGTGAGGTATCTTGTGCAATGGGTCTGTCCACGTACAGGGGTATTTTCACAAAATAATGACATTGGCGCATAAACCACACAGAACGCGCGGACGGTTGGGCATACAGCTGTGAATTTCAGAATCGAGCTATGGAGCTGACATATCGGGACAACTGTCGGATGGGACAAAAATAGCCACTAGGTGGCTGAGTAACCAGGTTCCCGGCTGAGGAGCGTTGAGCGCTCGTGAGAGCTCCAGACGGGGGCATTAATTTCAATGCCCTCAACACTCTCAACGCCCTCTGGAGCACTTAGCTGGCGGAGACCAGTTTTCGTGATGTCGATAAATCTAGCAAGCACGCGAACTCGCAGCCACGGCGACGTTCCACTGAAGCTGCGAGAAATTTGTGCAACACACTGACATTACCTAAAGGAGCTCGAGATATAAAATATAGTTGTGATACGCCGTTGGCACTAGCAAGTTCATTACGTCTTCTTGAAGATAAGCTACGTCTCTGTGACAGAATTATGACCAAGGGGTGAGTGCTGAAATGGCACCGGCTGAATACCATCCATACGTGCAATGACACTATGACCGCGTCGTAGAATGTCAGAATTGTAGCCACCTAGCATTCACTGGAACAAATCTCTATCAAGACAAAGTTGTTTGGTCGTAAAGTATGCGCTCATCGTGATTGGGAAGTGGCTGTTGGAACATTCCACCGAGAGATTTTGCGCAGGCCTGAACTTGATTCACAGTATAACATAAGTGGCATCCCCCCCCCCCCCGCTCTTATTACTGACTTTAATAACTGCACGAGCTAGGCCATGACTGTGGAATTAGCGCCCGGACCACGCGGCAAATTCCCGGCTGCTTGCACGTGACTTTCCCGCCGCATGATTTACGTCTCAATTCAGAATCTTGCAGCAATCTGGCAAGGATAAAGCAATAGTATTACAGATAATTAACTAACAGTTGTATCTAGCATCGTACTACGAAAATTTCCAAGGCCAAACGGCGCTAAAATGGCCGGTTTAACGTTTTCTTGTCTCGGGACCCTCCCGGCTCATAACACGGCACTCTGGGCTCAAGATAAGTAAGTTAAATAGCGCAAAAAAGACTGGACAAGTCCGGAATTGAACCGGAGACCTCCTCAAGCCGAATTGCCGGAATTTGATTGCCGGAATCTGCGAATGAGGCGCGATAACCCCTACACTACATGCCCTTGGAGTTTCCTCGAGCAGCGCTTACATATCGACCTCAAATCTACACAGCTCCACCATAAACGTTCGTCCTGATTGCATCGAAGTGGGTGGGTTTATAGAGGGGGCGAAACACGGAGAAAACCGGCGAAAGATGGCAAGCGGATAGCCGACGAAACCGAGGACCGTCCTCGTGATACCCATCGGCCGAAACAATGGTAGCCCACGAAGTGCTATCACGCGCTTCATAAAACCGCATAGAAGCTAACCAGATATATGTATGCGTTGACGGAGCATGCGACGGTGACTCAAGTTAGAAGATATGACACCTATGAAGGATAGCACGTGATCATGGGTTATCTGCCCTTAGTTTCTTCGTTTACTCGTAGTTTGTGTTGGTTCCCTCCCATTGCACCCATAAGACAATAGGGGAAGCCGATTTTCATGCTAGCTTGCTTCCACCCTTGCTAAGGTACGCTTGTTGGTGCCTGCTGCTTATTTCACTTTTTCACATATACTATCGTCCATACATATCCCTCTGTTTGTTTGTTAGGCCCACGGCTTTACTCGTATTAATGACACACCACGAAGCTATAGATGGCTAAAGTTGAACGATACATAGTTGCATTGACTGTGGAGCCTTGGGCATGAGATCGTTAGATTTCAGCGTGGGATATGGACCATCGTGCACCTGTGCGAAAGGCATCGCTTGAGACTTGTTACTCGCTAACCTCCCCCATCAGTTGGCCCATGGCTTTCTTTTTCGGCTAGACGACTCGCTGTATATAAAATCATATTCTCTAATATAAATCGTTGGTATGATCAGACGTGACTTTAACCTGGGTTCTATTAAACTACAACGGCTATAGAGATTGACTCGGCGTAAAGTCTCTTTTTTGTTACTCGCACTCTAATGCCAAACGATATTCACGCTAGAATGCCCCAAGTTCTTGTCGCTATTTTCTGGTGTCCAAGTTGTCGTAGATGTATAGTTACTCTAGACCTCTAGTATGCCACATGTAGCATTCAGGAAAAACACAAACTAGTATACCAAAATTGATGTCATCGAACGAACAAACTGTTGCAGTTTGCCAGATACGTAAACCAATCCATTGAAACGATTGGCTTAGCCCGTATTGGTGCCAGTTTATCTTCAGCATAGACCACCATTTGTTTCAAACCTATCAAAATTCTACGTTCGCTCGTCCGGTTGCCGACCGGCAACAGGCATAGAACTACTGTATCTGTGGGTAATGCGTGGGTGTCGGCGTTGTGCCATTCTTAGGTGCAAACTGGCGCAAACCGGCGCTTGCCTTTTGGACCCCCTCTGCGATGTGATGTGCCCTGACCCTACCACTACCAGTATTTACTCGTCTTCGACCAAGTGCGCTATCTCGAATCGAACCATAAACCCCATGTTTAACAAACTGAATTCCAGCAATGATGGGATCTGAAGGTCGTGTTAGCTCGTTCAACCAAGTCTTGGCAATTACAGAATTGGCTCTTCTCGTTTGTGGCTTTTCGAAAAAGAAAGATCTGGCTAGTTTGCTCCATCTATCCTATCACACTTTCATGTCGGTCGCACCAGCCGTATGGGACGACGTTGATCTCCAAGATGTATTAAAGCTTGTCCAAGGTCTGGAGACGCTCGTAAGAATTAGACAACGGTCCCGTGAATTGGAGCACGTATGGCCATGCTTCATGCGAGCTCTGTCGTCTGGTCTAACTTTATACAGGTGTTTGATTTGACAGGGGACATTGACCTTGCGCGGTTCGAGATCTATGCGCCGTTTGTCAAGACAGCTAGAACGTCTGTGCCCTATCTAGTCAAGTTCCCAGATAAGCGCCCGTCAGACATCTTGCTACGAAACTTGCAGCGACTAGTTATCAACACGCCTTGTGTAGTGCAAAATTTGGACATCACTCACTGGATCTCGAGGCTAATAACTCCTGGCTTCAAATGCATCGAGATGCGTTCGATTTACCTTGAACAAAGTGCCGGCGAAGACTTGCGAGAGGAGGCCCCTTGGATGCCATTCGAGAGTTGTGTGAAGCTAATCAGTGAATTACACGAGGCGTGTCCGGATATAGAAAAGCTAGCTTTATTCCCGAATGAGACAGGAGGTAACCGGGGCCAATGATGTGTCGAGATTGGCACTTTGAAAAACTTGCGCGCAGTTACACTGGGTATAACCACTCTGGAGCAAGACCTTCTCCAAACGCTTGGCCTGCTTTCTCGTCTCAATAGTCTTGCGCTTTTCGCCGATGAATACACGCGCGAGGGTATAGACATAGATGGCCAATCCGAACTCCCGCGGATAGCTTTCCGTGTCTCGAACACCTAGCGCTCCGTGGCTTGAATGAATCGACACTTGAGCGCATACAGGCACCGTCCCCCCCCCTTTGGTCGACTAACGACTGCGACGGTTATATTTCCGGAAAAGGCACATTTGGACGATGAGAGAGGATCCTGGCGACGACGCTCTCGCTTGGTTGCGAAATTCTTTGGGCACAACACTCACCTCGTCGACTTGAGCGCGTTCTCCAGCTGGTGGGATAGCTGTACCTCGTTCTTCCTACCCGGAATGCTCGAAATGCTTCAAAACATGCCACTCAAGCGACTGAGACTTGATCAAGCTCGATTACGTTCCTGGGGCAGCGTAGACGACACAAATACAGCCGACTCGAGTGACGATGAAGAAGTTGGTCATATCGAGGTTCATTGGCATCAGTTTTTGGCCGTTGTTCCGAATCTGGAGGTGCTGCAGCTGCACTTTCAGGCGGTCAAGTCGTGCAACCTTTTTCTATTTGCGACTATGCCGCCGAAACTCCGGCTGTTGGTTTTGATGGGAATTCTATTCGACGAAGATGAAGATCTACATGACCGGCCGGCTACTCAGCCGTTGACGATCCAGTGCCCGTTTTTTGGTGACCATAGCGGCGGCGAGCTGGAGCCGTATTCGATTGCAGCCAGGTGCTTTTCTCTGAATCCAATATTACGAATGACTGATTGTTGATTAGGGACATTCACAGTCTTTGGCCAAACGCCGTCTGTAAAGTAGATGCATTCGAGTCATGGTTCTACGGTGGCGAGCCGTTGGACAGACAAGCAGAAAAATTAGAAGACCTCAACAAAGGTTTGAATCGCTGTCAAAGAGGCGACTAGACGGCCCCGTTGCACGACTAAACGCATTGACACATGCGCTTGGTCAGGGCTAAACGGTAATCCCAGCGCCCAACCATAACCACCTAGGCCTAGCCCCTAGCCCCTGTACTATCCGAATTAGTTCCACAGCCGCGACACGAATAACCATTCATAAAAAAGGGGAGCCAACGCATTTGATAATTTAAACCCAGCAGGTGTGTAAGCCGAGGAGGTGCTGCCCTTCAAATACCCCTGTCACCCGACGTCGATGAATCGGGTACGCCCGCCGGCGGTCCGCCACGTTGCCTCCGAGGACGTTCCGGGGTAGCGCGTCCCTCGATTGCAAGTGGCCGCAACGTTCTAGACTAGCCAACTAGAAGCTAGGATGACCATGCGCAACAGAGTCATTCATTGTATTGTCACCCCCTGAATCGGACTAGTAAAAACGATCACGATTGGTCATACAAGCAAATGGATGTACACGACTATTATACATGCAGATGTGGCGACGAGCGAGAACAGAACGAAACGAGACGGAGAGAGCATAGATTAGATAAGGGAGATGAAGAGTGAGTGGTCGATGAGCGGAGAAGGCGATGGGCCCCGGTCTAAACCCGGACTCCTTGGCGATCTCGACAGACGCGCGAGATCCCGGGCATATGCTCGATGGCCGGCTAACCGCGCGCGAAGAGCGATGGGCGGGATTACGACTGAGTGCGAATGTAGAATCCCGCTTGCATTGTTTGGATGATGGCCCGTGGCTGTTGGACGAGATCGACCATAATCCCGACATGGTATCTATGAGATCATGGATCAGATCAAGGAGCTAAAATCAGGTTTCCGGAGCCGGGACAGGGATGAGCACATTCGGCTCGCTCAACCGGTAACTCGCCAAGCCCGATTGTTCTCCAACCTTCTTTTTACTGTAAATCGTGACCTCACTCACCGAAAACGGCTGCCTTCGCCCGCTTCTCGGACTGGGACCACGCTGAGCCAGTTCCAAAACGGCGTTCCGTCCCGTCGGTAGTTTAAGATCGTGGTCTGAACCTCTTCATTCGCATCGAGTTTGGCTTTGATGTGCGCAACGGTTGCTTTGGACGTGTGGGTGCGTTCAGAGCCGGCCGGAACGTGGGAGCTCGGGGGCGGAATATATGCGTATGATTCCCGGGATTGTGACTGCTCGTGGGTGGTGGATGATTGGGTTGGGGTTGGAGTCGGGTTGGGCGGTGTGATTGTCTGACCAGATTCGTCTGAGCCCACTTTTTTGTCGCCAGCAACGGACGGCCCCGGTCGATCTGCCTCGGTGACTGCGCCCGGAGACTGAGTGTGCGGGCGCTGGGGGGTCGGCGAGTGGATGACAGGCCTGGGGGGCGTGAGGACGTGTCCGCCGGGCGCCTGCATAAACCTCGGGTTGCGACCGCGAATGTCCTCGAGCGCGTAGCCACTCATCTCGCAAAACGACTCGCTCGCCCAGACCAGTGGCCGGTCGGGCAAGTCTAGGTCGACAATGACGCAGGAGGCGGTATGGTCTGGTGACGTCAAATGCGGAGACAGAGTTTAGGAAGATGTCGTCAGAACGCGTGTGCAACTTACCGATGGGGCCGAGGTTGATGACCGGGTGGGGGCGCATGACGACCTTGGCGAGGATGCCGAGGACGTCGAGGTGGCCGACAAACTGTCGCTGGGCAATCGCACGAAGGCGGGACATGCCCCTGAGCGGGGGCGGCAGCTGGAGCGACGGCAAGAGGTTGGTCAAATTGGTGTGGTATGCCGCCGGGCCCTCGGACTCGGAGCCGGACGTGCTCGACACGCTCGACTCGGACGACTTGCTGCTGCTGCTCGATGAGCTGCGTGTGCTGACGGTGAGACCGAGCACGG